ACCACATTCCCCACCCAGCCTCCCCCCAAAAAACAAAATCACCCCCAACCACCCAAGTTTTGTTTTCTCCGCAACCATCCCCACGACATCCCCTGCCATCGTGCAACCCCATGACGCGTGCGCGCTCTTTTTTTGACGAGCGCGCGCGCCTTAAAGCGCTTTGAGCACGGGAAGGGGGTCTTTAAGCGAGCGTTGGGGTTCTAGCACGTTCCACACGATGTGGTCATTGAAGAACAACGTGCGCAGTCATTGTGAAGTTGACATCACTGACGGGGTCAAATGGACGTAGCCCCTGCGGCCGAGCGATAGATGGGTATTCAATGGTCCGCCCCGCAAGATGCATTCTGACCTGTGAAAAGTGTGAGCCGCTTGTCAACTGCTGCATGTTGTTGTCGGGGAGGCCGTCCGGCCTTTTTTTGTTTCATAAATGTGTATAAATAGAGAGTGCGGTATGCGCCATGTCCGATGCCAGAATTGGCATATGAGAGATGAGATGGTGGAGGTGCGCGAAGAGTGGGGAGTGCGGGCTTAGGGTTTCGCCAGTGTGACGTGTCGGCGTCTTGTATTCAGATTTAGCGAAGGGGGCGGTGGGAATGGACGCAGTTCTCCACGGTTGGGATGGTAAATTGCGCACTCGTTTTCGAATCACAACGTAGTGTGCACAATACTTTGGTGGGCGGAAATCGTGGCGGGTTCATCAGTTGCTGATCAGCACTGTTTCGGCGATTACACATTGGGGCTGTGGTGGGGTGCGGTGGTGCACATCCATGGACATCCACGTTGCACTTAGGGGCCATGTCCTCGGCCAGACGATCACATTCTACGAACTCAGGCATCATCGTGGAGACTCTAAAGGTGGAGTCCGGAGGACGACCGCCTTTTTTATTTTCTGAACCCTGCAACGCGGCATGAAATGTGCCATTACGAGGTGGACACGAATGGAGAAACCATTTTCCACGTCAGCGTCATCGTCGCGTTGGGGTTTGCGGATGATATGTTCCGCGAGCCCTCGGTTATGCCACGAAGGTCGATCGAGGGATCCCCAACTGCTGGGACGGGGGGGTCGGACGTCCTCGCCGTCGTCGTTGACCTCCGCATGTCCAACCTGGGCAACGAGTATGAGGATCGCATCACATATCTTGCGGATTTCAGGGTGCACCCCGATCCTCCTTTGCATGACCGCCCAAGGTCTCCGCGACGAGATCCGGAATATCGAAGAGTAGAAGTGGATGGAGGCAATGGCGACAAACCGTCTGCGGTGACGAGAGAGAGAGAGAGAGAGAGAGAGAGAGAGAGAGAGAGAGAGAGAGAGAGAGAGAGAGAGAGAGAGAGAGAGAGAGAGAGATTCAGAGGAATAGTTGGAGGCTCTCCTATCGACACGTGTCACACGGACTCGACTTCAATAGGACAGTATACACCAGAGAAAATGATGGCAAAGAGAGAGAGAACAGCGAAAGTATCACTCCATGAGCTCATATCCACACTCTCCCACACCATAGTACGCGTTGCCTCGACGCGTTTCGCTGCCAGCGTACATGGCAGACTCATCAGGAGGCATCCTCAATCACTCGCACACTATCTTCAAAGTACCGCTCACTACGAGGACAGATGATAGTTCCTTAATCAATCCTTCTTTTATAGCTATCTTATCGATCCTCTCGCACACAACGAAGTACATTTCCTTCAGATCATCCATCCCCGCTCTGCCTATTCCGCTGCTACCTCCCCGGTCCTTGTTACCGACTACTCCCTGCGATCTCTCCTCTACAACTCACCCATCATCCGAAAACAGTCCTATCTCTTCGTCCTATACTCTTATACGGCTATCTAGTTTCTCCCGATAGTAGCTATAACCCACTCTCCTGTCCATAACATCATGTCCGATCTCAGTCATCCCGCTTACTCATCACCTTTCCATGTGATCGTGTTGTCAGAGTTTCATCGCCTTACCCTTCGTTCGTTCTAAATCCGGGAGTTCATACTTCCCGCCGTCTTCCCAGCTCATCTGTAAGAGATGTTTCGGCGTGTCTTTGTGTTTTCCTTCTGCCACTGGCCATCGTGGTTACTGTGAGTTGCGCTACCATGATATCACCCACCTTTGTTGAACTTGCCCCGACCTCCTACGGTACGTACTTTCTGTGTTGCCTGATTCCCGATGTATGTACTTATTAAGATTCGTACGCTGTTTCATCCTCCTGGTGTCCAATATTCAGTCCTGGTACGTGACGGATCCCCGACGGGTTGAGCTTTCCCTTTTGTTCCTAGCCCATATATCATGTCAAAAACCCTCGATGACAGTTCATATCGGATGTATCCACATCCGTCCCGCTATATTCTTCATCCGTCTGTGTTTCATGCCACCTCCATCGCTGATCATCTCCCTCGTTTCTTGCCGCCCTGTTCGCTATGTCAGGATATCCTATTGCGCTTCGGGTATCGCTTCGCATACACTTGGTTCTTCATCACGTATGCCCTGATTATTCTATACTGGGTGTATCCTCCCGGTACTCCGCTGCAAACCCTCGAAGACTCGGAAAACAAACAAACAGACCAAAAACGCCAAGTAGCCCAGAAACCTCTCCGCTGCCTGCATCCACACGTTGTGTTCTACTGCAGTACAAAAACCGAGATATTCCAAAAATCACAAAAAACGAAGACGGTATGAAAAAACGGTACGGAAAATGAAAAAACGGTACGGAAAACGAAAAATCCGATTCGGGATCTCGGACTACTGGCTGACCCTCCGCGATCTCGTTCTATATGTAAGAAAAGGAAAAGACAAGGAAAAAGAAAAAGAAAAAGAAAAAAAGAAATAAAAATACGAACTAGGAATAACAATACGAACTAGGAAATAAAATACTAAGCAAAAATACCGAAAGCCACAAACACATCCCAAAACCCGGTTACGTCCGTTCCTCCGGGCTCCCCGATTCTCCTCTAGTACATGCTGCGTTTTTTCCCTTTCAACCACACCTATCGCCCAAATACTTGTTCAGCCCGGGGTACATCCCGGAGAGCTTCTCTCCCCAGGGACCACCAGACAGCTTGGCAAATTTTGCCAGAGCTCAGAGAGAGAGAGAGAGAGAGAGAGAGAGAGAGAGAGAGAGAGAGAGAGAGATTCACCCATGTGGCAGTAGAAGATTTTCTTGCAGGAGTCCTGTGAAAAACAGCAAGCGGGTGGACTTGTGTATGCGTGAGTGTGTGTGTGTGTGTGAGAGAGAGAGAGAGAGAGACTCGAGAGAGAGACAGACAGACAGAGAGACGAGAAGCTCAGGGGCGAACTGGAGTTACTGGACTAGTCGTTTTGTTCTTGTCACAACTTGTTTCTTTACGGCCGTTTAGCCATGTGATGAACTTTGTGTTCGCCGTGTACTTCTGATTTGCAGTGGTGTTTGGAAGACGCTTC